AGCAGCAGTTACTGTGTTACTGTTTGTGCTGATTTTGTTCCTCTCTTTATGTTCTGTTGTCCATCTGCAGTTTCTGTCTCAGTATTTGCTCTCATGGATTTTTTCATACTTCTGTATAACAAATAAGGCTCTGATGTAGCCTTTAATATCTTTAGTAGAAATTGTAATTCATCATTCAAATTATTTTGTCCTGCAAAGGTGAACCTCACAGACCTCGCTGATCCGGTCGGTGCACGAGTGCCCATCCTGAGATTAAATTAAAGTATTAGAAAATAATACATGCTACAAGAAACAATGTAAAAGTTCAAACAGTTTGTGAAGTTTAATTTCAAATGTTCATTTTCATCATCAACAGACCAGGTCTTGTAATCTCTTATTAAAACCCATGTGCTTGTCTGATCGGTCTCTGTCCAGAAGGGGGCGCTAAATGATCATCAGATGGTCTAATCCCAATCCAGTCTGATAGGGTTCATACAAATGCCTTTTTGTGGTAAAACAGTGTTGTGACCTCTATCTCTAGCATATTGTTTAAAGTTATTTATTCGAGGGATGAACAAATAAAAGTTCATAAATGAGCAAACTGACAGGACAAACAGACTGAACTGCTCTTTTCAATAGAAATGCAGCTAATCAATCGAGAATTGCGCATTAATGTGGTCGTGACGCAGATTTCGCAACGGGTTCAAGTTGTTCACACGGATTCTGACCAAAGCTGCTTGGTTTGACTTTTACACTACTGACAGCAGAACATATTTGCTCTCGAAATCTAGAAGGCACATTTACAGTAAACAACCTGCAAGAAGACATCTGGAGGAACCGGTTCATATGCTTTTGTTCATTCACACTCCACAAACCAGTTCCACCGCCCTCTGTTATGCTTTTATAACTCTTCTGACTCTTGAAGAGAACTACTGATCGATTTTTGATTTCGTAAACGGAGATACTGAGAAACTGAATACCCATAGACACTAAATACCTAAAAATATTTACCTGAGTTTACCTGAGCTTTTTGTCTGTGCAATTGTGGATGTTCTAGACACTTCAAGACATTCATCTCATCAATATGTTGCAGTTTTTTTGTGTCTTATAAAGTAATCTGTCTCCTCTCTGACAGCAAAGACATACAAGCTACTAGAGTTCTTCACATTTCTAAGTATTTTTATTAAGAGTGGAGATTGTTATATGAAAAAAGTGCCAGTCCTAGTCAGTGTGTTTGTAACCTCTAATCAATTTCCACACCCTTGAAGCCTTACTTACAGAGCGGTTTCACTGTAAATAAATGACATGTGGCGAGTTAGTGTCAAAGAACTTTTGTAGGTATTACTGTTTTATTCTGACAATAGACCAACAGTACATACAATGCCAAATTTCAATAAAAAAGAAAAAGAGTAAAAGGAAACAAAATGCACATCTGAAACTTTTATGTATGTAAAAATGAAAAATACATAAACACTGCCTGGAGGTGCTGACTAAACACAGGAATCTGGATTATGTGCTATATGTAGAACCAGAAACTAGGCTTAACCCAGAAAGGTTTAATGAGCTTCATTATTTACAGTTTAAATTTACAGCTGCTTATGGACCAGACAGTAAAACCTGCAATTTCTGACAATTATGTGAATCAACAGGTTTCATCAAACTTTCTCACTTACAACCATATGAGCAAGAAGGTGACAGAGGTACTAAAGTGTTGTTAGATGTGTGTCTAAATGTTGTTAAATCTGACACAGAGACAGTTCAGACTCAAACACCTTAAATCCAGCATAGAGGGGTTCAGTGAATGTGGTGTTGAATGTGTGTAAGTGTGTGAGTGTGTGTAGTAGGACAGTGTGCCGGCTGGCCAGTCCAGATAAATGCCTAGATTGTAAAGGAGTTGGTATTTTATTGGCCTTATTATTGTGCCATACAGCAAATCTAGTCTCAGTGCAGAAATGACTCCAGGATTTGTCATTGTATCCAAACTTACAGACAGTCCCTTCTTTCCTGCTGATCCCTTTATAGGCCACTGCTATACGAGCCCAAGTGCCCCATTCAACCTCCCAGTAACAGCGTCCAGTCAGACTCTCTCGACACAGAACCTGAGGAATATCAGCAAATCTCTCTGGATGAGTTTAGTGTGTGCTGTGTTTGGATCCAGTGTGAGATCACAGGCATCTGGACACAAGAAGACAAATAAAAACAGTGAATTAATCATTTGTTATCATTAAACGTGCATGTCTGTGTCAAAGGAAGAACCTAAATTTTCTCAGTCTTGGTGTGATTCTGAAGGGCCCTCCATGATCCAAACTAAAGATACATACAAACAAAAAGAATCGTGAGTAATTGCAATAGCTATTCACATACAGTCCATTAAATCTGGCATTAAATCAAAGTTTACACTATTTTATCTTGAGGTGAACAATTAATATGTGCAAGTTAATCCACTGGAATTTTATATTTTTTTTGTTCTGGTAATCTATAATTAAAATCTGAAATTTTGCTTCCGCTCTGGAATAACATTCCGTCAGTTTGACGGCTTGGGCAGAATATCCTCAACCCTCCAACTGTCAGTTTGCTGTGAGCGTGAGATGACGAGGAGGAGTGCTAAAATAAAATCCCGCCTTCTATTCAATATTCTGTCTCAGTTGGAAATGTGTCGCTATACTGAAGTTAAGTTGGTAACAACTTCCGGTTCATGCGGACTTTAATACAGAGTCAAGTAAAGTTTATGTGTATAGCACATTTCCGAAAACAAATTTAAAGCAGCTTTATAGAGCTGTATGTCTCAGGCTTCAGTGTCTTCAGGTTCTAGTGGACAGCTTCACAGGACAAACGCTTTATGTTTCACTTTTACTGGGAAATGTTACTAGACAAATAAAAACAGCAGTAATGAACACAGTACAAATACATTTTGTGATTTAAAACAGAGAAACTGTTTTAGACAATTTCCAACACCATTGCTGAGCATTTTCTCTTTAAAACGGCAGTGTACCAAAGATGAAGTCTCGAAAACACGGTTTGAAACCCTATTTCCTACCATCATAAACATGTAACCAGTCTCATCAACTTGCAGGGCAGGGTTTTTCATATTTTTATATTCACTTTCTATGATGTTCAAAGCATTTCGCCCTACTGATGTTGATAGCGAACAAGAACATTGTGTAATATTAGCAACACATTATTAACTGTTTGATAACAATTAAGGTTCATTAATTGGACTCCACATACCTGAGATTCTCCAGTTTATAGTTAATATAAAGATTTTTAAATATACAGTTTATATAGAGCTTATAATAAGTCAAATAACCACAGCCTTCCTCTGTCACCATACAGCCAGACAACCTGCAGACACACACAGTCAGATCATCTACAGACACACAGTCAGATCATCTACAGACACACACAGTCAGATCATCTACAGACAAACAGTCAGATCATCTACAGACAAACAGTCAGATCTTATACAGACACACACAGTCAGATCATCTACAGACAAACAGTCAGATCATCTACAGACACACAATCAGATCATCTACAGACAGTCAGATCATCTACAGACACACAATCAGATCATCTACAGACACACACAGTCAGATCAACTACAGACACACAGTCATATCATCTACAGACACACAGTCAGATAATCTACAGACACAGACAGTCAGATCATCTACAGACACACACAGTCATATCATCTACAGACAAACAGTAAGATCATCTACAGACACACAATCAGATCATCTACAGACACACACACACAGTCAGATCAACTACAGACACACAGTCATATCATTTACAGACACACAGTCAGATAATCTACAGACACAGACAGTCAGATCATCTACAGACACACAGTCATATCATCTACAGACACACACAGTCAGATCATCTACAGACACAAACACACACGCACGCACGCACACACACACAATCAACTACAGACACAGTCAGATCATCTACAGACACACACAGTCAGATCATCTAGAGACACACACAGCTCAACTACAGACACACAGTCAGATCATCTACAGACACACACAGATCATCTACAGACACACAGTCAGAGCATCTACAAACACACAGTCAGATCATCTACACAGCCACACAGTCAGATCATCTACACACACAGACAGCCAGATCATCTACACACACACACACACACACACACACACAGATCATCTACAGACCCATACAGATCATCTACAGACACAGAGTCAGATCATCTACAGACACACAGTCAGATCAACTACAGACACAGTCAGATCATTTACAGACACACACAGTCAGATCATCTACAGACACACACAGTCATATCAACTACAGACACAGTAAGATCATCTACAGACACACAGTCAGATCATCTACAGACACACAGCCAGATCATCTACAGACACACAGTCAGATTAACTACAGACACACAGTCAGATCATCTACATACACACAGTCAGATCAACTACAGACACACAGTCAGATCATCTACAGATCATCTACAGACACATACAGTCAGATCATCTACAGACACACACAGTCAGATCATCTACAGACACACAGTCAGATCATCTACAGACACACACAGTCAGATCATCTACAGACACACACAGATATATAATCTACAGACACACACAGACAATTTACAGACACACACAGTCAGATCATCTAGAGATACACACAGTCAGATCAACTACAGACACACAGTCAGATCATCTACAGACACACACAGACATACAATCTATAGACACACACAGTCAGATCATCTACATACACACACAGACAATCTACAGACACACACAGACATATAATCTACAGACACAGTCAGATCAACTACAGACACACAGTCAGATCATCTACAGGAACACACACAGTCATATCATCTAGAGATACACAGTCAGATCATCTACAGACACACACAGTCAAATCATTTACAGACACACATAGTCAAATCATCTACAGACACACACAGACAGATGATTTATTACGCATATCAACATTATGACCTGCTGACTTTATATTATCCCTTTTTCTTAACACCTCAGTATCTCCAGCTGGAAGTTTGGACTCTTCGGTCCATCAGAGAGCAGCTTCACTCCTGAATCCTGCAGGTCAATGTTACTCAGATCCAGCTCTCTCAGGACAGAGTTTGAGGATTGAAGAGCTGATGACACAATTTCACAGGACTGAGCAGTGAGATTACAGCCAGCAAGACTGAAAGAGGGTAAAACAATTCTTAACCTGACTCTGCAACTACTATTCAAATTATTACATTTCAAAACACAATTTGACTTTAATTCTTGAAAATGTCATAAATTATAATTCCTTTCAGAGAAGATATTTTTGCAATTAATTATCTTCATTGTAACACTCACATGGCTTTTCTGCAGTTGATCACAGCTGGTATCAGTCGTCTTCTCCCCTCATCTGATGTGTTGTATTTCTTGAGGTCCAGCTCATCCAGCGGCTCCTCTGACATCTGAAGCATGTAGGTGATTGTTGAGCAGTCAGCAGGAGAGAGCTTCTTCTCTGAGTGTTTGTCTGATTTCACAAACTCCTGAATCTCTCTGGACAGAGTCTGATCTTTCACTTCCAGCAGACAGAGGAACAGATTGATGGATCTTTCAGTGGAGAGTCCATGTCCATCTTTGATCCTCTCTGTAATGTACTGTGTGGTTCTCCTGATGCTCTCTGAGCTGTTCTCTGTGTGTGTCAGTAGATCCTGTAAGAGTCTCTGATTGGACTCCAGTGAGACGCCCAGCAGGAACCGCAGGAACAGATCCAGCTGTCCATTCTTATTCTTGAGAGCTTTATCTACCACACCTCTAAGCAAATTATGCATTGAAACAAAAACCTTAAGGGTCTCAGTGGTGCTGTTTAAATGACATTAAAACACATGGAAAGCAGGGAGAAATTCCTGAACGCTCAGATGAATGAAGCTGTAGACTTTCCTCTGATGAATCAGAGATTCCTGCTTAAAGATCTCAGTGCAAATCCCTGAATACACTGAGGCGTCAGTGAGGTCTATGCCGCTCTCAATGAGGTCCTCCTCATAGAACATCACATTGCCCTTCATCAGCTGTTTGAAAGCCACTTCAGCAAGTTTCACAATCACTTCTCTGTTGGACTGCAGGAGTTTCTCTGGATCTCTTTCTGCACTGAGGACAGTCAAAGTCTTCTGATGGTCTGGACTGATCCCAGTATAAACTGATGCAGAAACTGTGTTCACAGCTGATAGAGACCGGTTCTCTCAGAACCTGCTCACAAACTCCACATCTGTCCCTCTCACCACTGCTGAGTCAAAGAAGAAATATTTAATTCAAAATTAATAAATAACAAATGAAGAATAAAATATGTATTTGCCCAAGATAAATTTATTAGCATTTACACACCTTTGCCACGATATGTAGTGCTACAATGATGAAATGACAAAGTAATTGACAACAAATTCCATTATCAATCAGACAGGTCTGTGCACATGGCACGTTTTCCCCAGTGAATATCTTTTATGTTTACACGTGAAAAGATATACTTGAAAATACATATATACTTCATAAATGGAACACAGTTCATGTTCTCCCTACAAAACTCACTGAACTCGTAAAACATGGCAACGTGCAGGGTTGAAAGACAAATCTGGAAATTTATATAAGACACAAAGACAATTTTTAAAACGATATTACAGAATGTGTATTTTTGCAACAGCAACATATAAACGTTATAATGGACCCTTTTCACATGCGTTTCTATGGTCATCAGCATCGTAAATCCTCCAAAGTTTTTTATATTTTCATTTTTTTAAAGAATGTATGTACATTTATAACACTATACTTTGTATAATATCACCTTTGCATCAAATTACAAAATACTAGTTAATGCTAATACAAGATTGTTTCTAATACAGCGTCTATGGGAGTGACGGTAAATTTGACATCATTCTCTCTTTTGACTGCCGTTATTAGTCTCTCTCTATTTTATTTTACTTTTTTTGAAATTCATGAAAACACGATCGTGGAGTTTTTCTTTTGCTATTTGAGCAAATTAGAATTAGAATTGGCAGTCTCCCATTTATCGCTATTGAAATTTACCCAAGTATGACGACTTACGTTGCTGAGAAATCCGGAAATGTGAAAAAGATCCATAACAGGAAATGTCAATCCAGAAAGTGGTAAAGGCCTGTGGAAGCTTTGGGAGTACTGATGGAAGTCTTCTACTGCATCTTTGCTTTGATAATATTACTGAATCCAGATGTAGTATTTGATAAAAATGCGATTTTCTCCACTTTTTGCTCAAAACTTTGCTTTTTTATGAAACCTGCCTACATCAAAAAAAAAAAAAAAAAAAAAAAAAAAAAAAAATGCTGATTGACACCAAATATTGCTTTTTTGTTGTCCTTCCGTCAAGTGTATTCCAACAGCCACATTATCAGAAACAATTGCCCAGTTCCCTTCAGAGATCTCACTTGAAGGACTTTGACCTTTGAAGTGAGCAAGACACAAGGATGCTCAATTCTGATTAGAATTTGCCCATGATCGTAGCTTTAGGAAGTGAAAAATGGATGCTGTGCTGATAATTACGTTAGTTACTTTAACACATTAAACAGCCAACATTAAGTGCAGAAACATTTATTTTATTGTGTAAATGGCACACGTAAACTGAATACCACCTTTAAACTCCATGGAATATATTTTCTTTCAAATGAGAATGACAAAAAAATAAAAAATAAAATAAAATCCACAAATGTTATAATTTTCTATATAAAAACAGTTGCTGTTTCTTAAATGAATAAAAGTGCTCTATATAGGAATTACAATTTTAGGGAGAAGCAATAGGAAAGCTCACTATTACCAATAACCATTCAAAAGCTGACTCTAACTGAAATATACGGAAAGGCTAAAAAGACTGTATCTGAAACAATCAGATGATTTTATAAGTAGAACTGTTAAAAAAATGGAATTTGAAAAGACATTTTTGTACAACTCCACAATAATAAAAACAAAATGAAGGATGGAAATCACTACAGAAACTGCGGCACTAAGTTCACAGGAATGATCTTAAGCCCAATAACAAAATATTTCTTACATTTTTTCTTAACATCTTATTTTCTTAGCAATATCTAATTTAAATGTGGCACCTGAGGGATTTGTCGTTTTTATTAATTTGGACTATAATTACAAAGGTAGTGGATTCCTAGAAACCACTGGACATCTGACCCCTCATAACACCGACTACGCCACCCTGGGAATTTCACCCAACGGTCCAACAAGGACACACAGGTTCGTTCCCACAAGGATACAGCGGAGACGTGAATGTAAAGAAAAATAGCAATGATACTTTATTTATAAATAGTATAAAAACAGTTCCACACACATACACGGTTCAAAACAAGAGGAATGAGTCTGGCTTCAAAATGAAGACAAAACTAAGGGGCAAATAAACCAATAAGACAATCAAGAATACATGTCAGATGGCAAAAATAGACAAAATACCTTAACTTTCACAAATTCAAGAAAAAAAAAGTTGTCACAAACCAATATCAAATCAAATAAGCATAACAAAAAAAAGAAAAAAACAAACAATAATACAGTTGACTAGTTACATCATAATCTCAAACAGATATATAAATACAAAAAGCAAAAAATAACAAAATAATAACATATGCAAATCACATTATACATTCCCCAAATAGGAGACCCTAATCCATTAACCATACACGTACAAAAAAAAAAAAATATATATATATATACACTCCGTATACCACACACACACACAACCGCAGCCAGTATACTTCCAACGGCAGACACCCAAATCACACTCAAACAACTCGCATCAACTTATAAGTTCATTCACACAACAGTAAATATAACATACAGACCCCACAAGCACACAATCCTCCAGCTGAAACAGTGCGGGGTGACCGGACGGGTTATACTCTGATCTCACGCTCCTCCGAAAAGTTCACTTGATACGGCCTTGTCTGACGAGTGCAAACGATGAGACAAGACAGAACATGCGGTATTTCGCACTTACCAAGTAAAACTCTCGCTGGTGAATGTTTCAGTCTAGTGCATGTCGATGGCTTTTACTTTAGGGTACCTGGGGGTTTTCATAATAACTGAACAACTGAAGAGCGTAAGTTCACTCAGTGTAAGTTGTTTGTTATCAAAAAATTAAATAAAATAAATAAATAAAATAAACTTTCAGGGTGTGTTAGCAACCATGACTTCTTCCATGTAGGCTACCTGATGCGGTCACAGAGTAGTTTACGTGCTTCAGGCTTGCTTCAGGTAAACCACACCTTCCTTCTTGAGGATATTAGGCTTGTTCGAGATGCATCGGCACTGCGCAGACTAATCGGCGTATGACATTAAAGTACCGTGAGAGTGAATGGAGAGCAGACGACTCTTTAAGCTTTTGAATCGCTCTCGCTGTACTTTGATGTCATACGCCGATCAGTCTGCGCAAGCCTAATATCCTCAAGAAGGAAGGTGTGGTTTACCTGAAGCAAGCCTGATTTTGTTTTGGGGGCGTACTAGAACAAGCTCTCATACTAGGTTGTTCAAAAAACACATTATTTTTCACATATTTTACATTATTACAATACCGAGCGGCAATACATGAGCGGCTCCAATAGTTCCTGTATCAAATGAAGGCCCGCCTTCTGAAATACGAAATGTGCTGTGATTGGTTAGCTGGGCCAGTGTGTGTTG